GGGGGGGGTATATTCAGCGTGCAGGTAGCATTAACAGGTACGCAGCTTTCCTTGCAAACATACCGGTTCCGGGATATTTTTTTTGTTTAGAGCTTTTTGTTACGTATGTTTTGTTGACATACGTTTCAGCTGAAGCCAGCTGAAATCGAAAGAGGGCCCAGGTAACGTCCAGCGATGGGAAGGGAAGAAAGGGGGCACGCAGGGCGTGCAGCGTGCGCGTGAAACACGACGGGCAAAGCGCGTGAGCGTCCTTCTAGCGGAAGCAAATTTACAGCCGTTGTCACGTAAGGCATCCGATAGTCGTCCCCGGGTGCACAGGAGTTTCACATGCTAAAACCTGTCACCGGTCCGAAGGCTTGAATAACCCTTACAGGTGCTGAAGACAAAATCCTACTGATCACAGCTGGCGACGTTTTTTCGTCTTTGTTTTGGCTAGTTCTTATCTGTGCTGGTCACCTCAATTTCTATCTGGCTCCTGGCAACTCGGTGCACTCAGAAAGGTCCAGCTGGGGTCGCCCAGCTTAGACCCTGAGCTTCTATTCCTGCGTGGTACACCCGTACTGCTTTTCGTCGTGGTTTGTTCTTTTGTGTTTGCAGCTACAGGAGGGAGATGCAAGAAATGTGATTGGCTTTAAAAAAAATCACATTGCCTCTATCAGCAAATTTGTCTCTCATAATACTTTTATGATAGAGGTATCGTAGCTGCTTCATCATTAATGATATTAAAGTGATTCGGCTGTAGATTTAGAAATGGAACTCCTCTCCTTTTTCTAAGCCAAGATTATCAAACGAGCAGGATGCAAGCAAAAGCATGCTTTGTGGAGTGTTCCTTTTGGGAGGAAAAACTAGTGATGCCACCATGTATTTTTTGTGCAGTCCCATTTATTTATAAACAACATAAGTCTTTTTTTTTTCTTTAAAGAATCAAACAATAAGAAATAATTTATTGCTTTTAGCCTATGGTTTGATGTTTCCTCACATGAACTAAAAATAATGCTGTTGTACTAGACAAGGCCGTGATGATTGCTGCTGTCCGTCACAGGAGATTCGGACCGCCATATTCTTTTTTTTTCTTATCTGGACATTCACCAGACATGAATATCTCTTTGCATACTGCAGACCACTTTAATGCTGCAGAGCCCATCAGTTTAACTCACCCATTGTAAAAGCCTTACAGCATCGCTGATCAGTGAGAGCTAGAACCTGGCTCCAACCTAGAGCCGTCATGATGAAGACTGCGTGTGCCTCGAGACTGCTATTTTCAGGTGCTCTCCGCTGTAGCCATGACCTCGGCAGACAGACGGGGCCTTTCCAGAGTCCAGAGAGAAGCCTCCCTGCAGACTGTTGTTACGGGGAACTGGAGGAGCGTTGACCTTTCTGTCCAAGGTGCATTGCCATGATGACAATAAAGTATCTGAAGCGATCTGTTTGGGGCTGCAGTACAGCAGAGAAATACACCCTCCTGTAGAGCTGCGAAGACTGGTGGTCCAGGCAGAGGACGCGTGTATGTGTAAGTATCCCACTGCCAGCCCCTCTTACAGGACAAAAACTGCTATTGTCTCCCTCTTGCCCACCACCTGGAGGCTGTGTGGGATGAGAACCTTGTGAACAACAGAAGTAATTTCATGGTGCCGTGCTTGCCGTCAGCTTTTCAACCCCAAGTGACAGGCATCGGGTGGTGCCAGCTTCTGGATGAAGACAGCCGCCCTCCCCTCAGTCACACTCCCGTGCAGCACAGCTGAGGATGTGGAGTGAGTGCAGCAGAGGTGTAGCAACCAACAGTGCAGACCATAAATTTGTGTTGCTGCAAAACAGCAACTCAGGAAACTGCAGCCTTGGTCTCTCAGTAGGGTTTTTAGGGTGGCTGATGATCGCACAGCTCCCAGCAATACTGCTGTTGGTAATGCACAGGCAGAACCTACTTAGTGCTGTTTCCATTCCTCCCCTTTCTGAGGCAGCTTCTCCTGGCTGCATCCTACAGTCCTTCTTCAGAGGTCCTTTGGCAACTTTGTCTCTTCTCATGATTCACTCTCCTCCCCCATAAAGGTGTATCTCCAATTTGAGAATTTTTGCTGCATATAACACAACTTTCCTCACAGTGGTTTTACGTATCTGCCAAGACAAAGCATTGTGGTATTGCATCGATTTATATTCTGTGCAAAAAGATTCTAGTGAGATCAGAAGCTGTGTCTGTAGTTCAGCTCTGGTTCAAAGAATGGTGAGACAAACTTTTACAGTTTCGGGTGTGAAAAATCTCAGCTCTTTCACTTTCCCTCCAGGAGCACCCTGTATTGGGGTGAGGGTTTGGTTCTGCATTCATGGAAGGTGAAATTAATCATAATACAGAGGACTGGAAAGCATCTTCAAAGACCTCATCGTTGATGGCACTCTCATAAGCAGGCGGTGGCGTGAGTGGCTCCAGTGGCTCAAACCTGTCTTCAATACCTTTCACTTCATGGATGTCCGAAACAAACCGCTGTAGTCTTGGGGGCAGCACCAGCTGCAACTGCATCCTGGAGCCTGTGTCTGTCTCAGAGGCGCGCCTTGTGTCTGATGCCACGGACACCCTGAGAGCCTCCACCATGATCTCTTCTTGGCCAGATGACTCAATAACTACATTGTAAGGAGGAGGCTCATTCAGTGGTGAGGGCACCAAGCCTGGATTGGATGCAATCGTCCATATTGCTGGAACGGACATGGTCATCACCTCCTCATAGGTGGGTGCTTCATAGGCAGCATTCACCCTATGCACAAAGAGAGGAATGGCAGTTACACTCGTTATTTTACTGCTTAGTTTCTGCAGAGGCAGGTAGTCTGGATAATGTAGCATATGGACCGTGCTACAATCAACAGATGGGACTGAGACAGGATATCTCATGTGGTATTATTGTATGTGATATTCTGCCACTGGATCAGCTCACTTGTCCAGCCAACTTAATGTCTTGCTTTCTGGTCTAGAGAATGGCTCATGTGACCATTTTCCCCCACTCCCCAGAATAAGTAAAAAAAACCTCACACTGGGTTTCAGTGCCCTAGGCTTAGCTTGATCATAGAATCATAGAATATCTCAAGTTGGAAGGGACCCATAAGGATGATGTCCCTCATTTAAAATCTCCTACCAGTTAAAATGTATTACTAAGAATTGCTAACTACTAATTATTTCTCAGAATAAAACAGGACCTTGCTTTTTTAATACATCAGCTCAATGTTCATCTGTTTTTAAGAAGAGGAGAAAATCCAGTATTTTCATTTAGTTTAAACAAGGACTAGCTATTCTGTATTGGAATGTCTGCAGAGAAAAATGTTACTTTAGAAATATTTTCCTTTTTAGGTCATATTTTTAAATAAGTAGATACTAATTTTCTTCTAGTATGCCCCCAGCCTAGCAAAGCCCAATATAGACTTCTTTTTATGTAGTCTTTATGAAAATAAACATGTAATAACATTTTTACTCTCCTACAACACCCTATATTTGAGAATGTCAGGTCATTTATGGATGTGGATAATGATTATCTGGATTATACAGACAAGGAAGCAAAGATACAAATAAAGTTAAACTCTTCAACTGCAGTAGGCAAATTGGAGTTAAATTAGGTGATGCTGAGAACCTGCAAAGATACATGAAGCAAAAAAGATGTAGGAGTATTCAGAGCCTCTCAAAATCAGGGCTTTTTAGTGTCAAGTTGGATTTTTAAGAGTGGAAACACACCCAGTTACAAGTTCCTTTTTAAAAGTTTGCCGAGAACAGTTGCTCTGGAGATAAGGTTTATAGAGTTAAACCCAGCTATGATTCAGTATTGCTTCAGCATTTTTTCTTTTTCCTTGTCTGACTCATTGTTTGGCAAGAGTCGATTACTCAAAGAAAAATAAAACTGGGCCTGCATCTGTTTAACCTTGGAAATTGTTGGTGGATCAGTTCCTGGGGGGAAGAAAATACATATTGGACAATATATATTTGCCACACATGCATGGCACAGACATTTGCAACCTCCACCTGAAGAATGAAGGAAAACAACCTAAAAAGAACTTTTGTCTTCTGGAATGGAGTCTGTGTTTGGTGCCCTAGGGGAAGGGCAGCAAAACAATATGTAAAATGGCCATATCTGAGGAGAGAGTGTTAAAGTAAGAGGAATAACCAGGTTGCTGCTTACCCTGCTTGGCTTTGTCTGCTTGGAGGTATCTCATTTGTGTCATGTTGGTGCTGATTCCTCAGGTAACACTCGGCAAACACACTCAGCAAATAGCCGACCAGGCACACTCCCCCTACCCC